ACGGGGATTCCCTTTCAGAGCCCCCATTTGGTACATGTGGAAGCTTTCAGCAGTACCATTATAATTCTTCTACATTTCTGACTAAATATTGTTTAAAATCTATTTAATGGCTTTCTTTGTTTTATCAGGTAACACAAAGTAAAATAAGTCCAACATTAACACAAGCATTAGGGGTTCCAGCATAGGCAATGAGATACAGCTTTGCACCATGTTCTAAGAAGGTCCCACCAGTAAGTGCAGCTCTAAGACCATATAAACACTGGGCTGAATTATTTATTGGTTTGTTGATTGATTGACTTGCTGTACTGGGGTCTGAACTCAGGGCCTCAAGGTTGCTAGACAAGCTTTGTACCATCTGAGCCATGCCCACAGCTCTTTTTGCTTCTGGTTTGTTTTTCATACAGGGACTCAAGCTATTGCCTGGCCAGCTTCAGACTACAGTCCTCCTACCTTGGCCTCCTGAGTAGCTGGGATTATAGGCCTGTGCCACCATTCTCTCCATGATTAATTCTTTAGTTAATTTGCTGAAACTGATTGTAATTAACAGAAGGTGTTTCAAGTGGCAGCTCTGAGTGATTGTCCTTATCTGTGTTTCTGTCTTGGCTGTAACATTGGGTTGTGGGGGTTGGGCTTCCTCCTTCCTTAGCATGGAAAGGGCGTAGGAAAGAGGAACCTAAGGTCCAGAGTGGTGTGGGAGAGCTGCGTTTGGCCATGCTTGGGGGACCTGTTCAGACTCACGGTGTGGTTTCTGAATAGGCTCTGAACTGTTTGGGGAAAACCCTTCCATTTGGCAGAATGCACATCTCGGTCTTTACTGGAGTCTACACCCTCTAAGGTGAGCCCTTTGAGAGTGGCATAGTGGGGCACACACGATGAGTTTGCCTCCGTGGGGATTTCCAAGAGAATGCAGCAAACCCCGTTCGAGTTCACCATTCCAGCTCCCCTGCGAAGTCCTCCTTTGAGCCTTTCACCTGAGGTCAAAGTTTTCCATGTATTTTCACCTGTTCTCCAGACTAAGCGTGTCTCACCAAACTGTCACACAGAGACCAAGGATTGTTCTATGATGTCTGATAAAACAAAGTTTAACTGTAAAATATTCAGAATTTCAGAAACTTTAATCTTAGTTTTTTTTATAACCTGTTCTACATTGTTTAAGAAACAGGAAATTTCAATGTAAAATAGCAGGGTGTTTAGTCATAAAGTATTTAGTATTTTGGAAACTTTAACAGGAAGTTCAACTATAAAATATTTAGGAACTTTAATCTTTATTCAGTCACTTATCTCTTGGTACAGTGTATATCCCGGTGTTTCATTGAGGACTGAGGCTGGGTCTGTATGTTCGATAGCTGCCCAAGAAGACAAGTGAGGTCAGAACCTCGGGGAAGTGAGCGTCACACACATCACCCGATCTGGACCCGTGTGACTTCAGGTTACCCAGGGACGTGTTGTTTCAGCCCAATGCAGATTGTCTGGAAAGGAGAAGTCGTACTTTATCTGGAAGGCATGTTGCTGGAGAGAGTGTGGGGAGGTCCCTGTGACTGTCAGATTCGCCCTGACTAGAACAGGCGTTGACGAGGGCTCCAGAGCCAGTCTTCACCATCCACGCCAAGTGTGCAGCCTCCTCTGGTTCTGTCTGGACTGTGTGGCCCAGACCATGGTGTGGTCAGACCCATAAGTGACTCTGAAGGGTGCTGGCATATTCGCAATTAGTCCAAATGCTAACAAGATATAACTCAGTGAACGTTAAAACTCAGTGTAAGCACTAACATTTTATGACATCACTCACATGTGTTTATGTGTTAATACTGAATTTAACAAAATGAGTTTTATAGAAGATTTTTCAAGAAGGAGCAAGTATGTGCTATCAGAGCACAATCGTGTAGCAAACCATGCTTAATTACCTTTAAATACCTCAAATAACACCCCAAGAGCAATGAGTCTTGAAAATGCAGATATCGCAAAGTAGAGAACTTTCCTCATTATGACATTTTGCAGAAGTTTGGGTATTTATGTGGATTATAACACACTATGCTTTATTTCAATTTTGTGTTATGACATAATGGCAGCATTACCACAGGTAAACTAGAACCGCTTTTCAGCTGAGATCCAGACTTGGCCTAATGTGAGCAAGGGGTTTATTTTATTTAAGAGTATTTGATTACTTAATTTTATCACACAGCTTCCACTCTGAATTTATTTACTAAGACCAAAAGCCTTCGTCAAGTAGGTAACAATTCTGAGATTTAATTGGAAGCATATCTTTAATTATTTTTATTTTCTTTCCATAACTGCAGGGTTCCCTCCTTACTCCCCTGAACTCAGCCATTAATGGCGTTACTAGCGATGACCTTTAGCTGCAGGGCGTGCAGCTGTTTCTCTGGTCTCCTTTCATTTGTAGTCCAGGGATCGTTTTCAGTTTTGTGAAGCTGTGGGTGACCCTTGAACTGAATTGTCCATCTCCTGTCAGTGTGCTAAGAGCTTGACCATTCTAGACCTCACACACTCAGGGTTGGCTGTGACTCCAGCTGGCGGCAGTTCTAAGGAGCCTGGCTCCTGTCACAAACGGAGAAAAAGAGGACTGGGAACCAAAGACCAGCTTGGGACAGAAGCTGCCACAGCCATGCTGTGCTCCCCCACGTGGAGGACAACTGGGAACGGGAAGGCTGACCTCCCTTGTCTGTTTTTCAAAGGTTTCTCTGGATGTCAGCTTCTGATGGAGGGAGCGTAACCACTTCTCAAGAGGAGGGGAAAAGCAGGGGAGAAAGCAGAACAAATCAGCGCCTTTTCCTTACCAAAATCTAAAAATATTTTCTGCCATTCATAATCCCAACTTCCACTTAAAAGAGGACTTTAAGGATTTAATTTTATCTTCTAATTTTCCTCACAAACTTTAGAAAACATATGCAAGCACTCCTCTGTTTACGCATATTGCCGCTGGCATTTTAACTTCATTACTTGGGAATTTATAACATGATATCTGTGTGCACATGGACACTGAGGCAGCTCCTCGGGCCTGATTCCTCCTGTCACCCCAGCTCACATGGGGCTCCAGACTTTGCAGGGCCTCAGAGAACAGCACTGTCCACTCTGGGGCACACGGGAGCAGCCACTTGTTCTAGAGTGAGGTCCTGGTGGCTTCTGAGCTCAACTCAGAGCAGAAAATGTGTTGACTCGGGGGTATGAGACTCCCTTATGGCCTGGAAGAAGTTTTAATAAAACATACTTCCCCTGATCCAGCATTATTCCTTGCAAGGTGTGCTGGGTGTGGCTTCATGGTGCTCAGACAGACCCCAACCAGCATCATTGTCATCTGCTAAGCCCTCAGGTCCTGCTGGGAACGTACTGCATGCAGTCGGGGCAGCACAGGACACAGATGCAGAGTGAGGCTTAACACAGGGGCAGGAGATGGCTTAGCACAGGGTACAGGGATTGGGTGTGGCATTCTTAACACCACTCTGGCCGTCTCTGCCCCTTCTGTGACTCTCCTGGTGTCAGCCCGGTCTTGGAGCAAAGCAGACTTTCTCACTGTGTCCCACACAGAAGATAACCACACCCCTCTGAAATCGCTGAATACTTCTGCTATTTTGTGTGTCATTTCTTCTGATTGACTTTGATTCCATGAAAACTCTGGCTTGTGACGCTCCAGTGGACCCAGCTCAGAGTCTAGTGTACCTGAAGGTGAAGACCACACAGAGTAGAGAAGAGAAAGCCAGAGTCAGAGGGGAGCAGAGACAAAGACTGTTAGAGACAGGGACCGAGATGGACAGCAATAGAGAGGCCCAGAGCCACAGCGAGGCAGCAGCAGAGACCGAGGGTCAGAGGCAGAGGGAGAGGTGATGGATAGAGGGCCACAGGGACAGAGGAAAGGGAATTTCGAACATCTGGAGGGAGCCAGAGGCGACAAGGTCACACACTGAGTGGCTCATGGTGGCCTGTCTGGAAAGTCTCAGTGTGACTGACTTATTCAAGTTACTCCACATTTGTACCTCAGCATGCAGTGTGTGTAGTTCTGTTTTATTTCCATGATTTCATACTCAATGACTAGAAAAATATTGACAATTAGCATTAAATTCACATATGGTTTTAAGGAGCCGTATGTGAAAAAGAATATACTATTGTTTTGCAATATTTAATCAGACCTATAAAATTAAAACAATGCATGTAAAGGAAAATGGCTTTATATTTTGTGCAAATTTGCCCAGTCGTCTTGAGAGGATTTCTCTCTGCCTCTCTGATGCTGAAAATGTAAAACACAAATACGCTATGGACATTACACTGAAACTTCACAGTGCATGGTTTTCCTTTCATTGCCTTCCCTGTTCTGACACGGTCTTCCTTACAGCAGTCTGCACATTGGTTCTGGGGAGTTGGGGAAGTGCTGAGTGGCTCTGGGGACTTGTTTATTGTCTGGGTCCACTTAAAGCAAAGACTTTTCCCAGAATGAGAGGAAACCCTCACTGAAGAAGTGGCTTTTGTGCTCCACATTCCACCAGCCTCTGCATGTGGACAGTAACTTAATGCACTTAAAACTGACAGGCCGTTGAGGTCCCTGGTGCAGCCTGTGACTACGTGTTGCATTTTCCCATACCCATGCAAACACACATATGCACTCACAAGCTTGTGCACACACACATATTCAAGGGCACACACATGGTCATGTGCACACACGCTCATGTACACCATGCTTGTACATATCACACTCTCATGCACACACACAAATACCCACATCACTCAGACTCACACGTGTGTGCATTCCACAACTACACCCATACCTGGACATGGGTACACACATGCATGCATTCCTGCAACAGCCAAGCACACCCACATCCATGTGCACATTCACAAGTGCATACACACTTGCACACACATGCACAAACACACACACGCACACACATGTGCAGGCTTGGTCCTTGCAGCACAGTGCTGCTTAGAGCCTGCCGTAAGAACGTGGTATCACTGAGATGTCTCCTAACACTTCTGCTGCTTTTGCAACCCTGCAGCTGACCAGACTGGGATGTTGTTCATAGGAGATGCTGTCCTACAGGTCAGTAGTTCAAACCTGAGCCCCTCACTTTATTGCATTTTTATTTTAAACTTGTCTTAATTATTGTCCTCAATATTCTTAATTTATCATCTATCCAGGTTAATGGCATTAATGTAGAAAATGCAACCCATGAAGAGGTGGTAAGTGTGCTACGTTTTATAGTTTTTGTTTTTTAGATATTCTGTTATTCTGATGAGTTCTTCTGTTATTCTACATTTAGCTGAGTGTGCTCATAGGCACGGAGTCTTAGAAATGGAAAAATATGTAAAGATTTAGTAAATCTCGTGGTTTCATGAGCTGCACGAGATGCTTTACAGACGTGCTTTCTTGGCTCTTTGGAACACCGTGGATGTGTGTTGTTATTGCCCATTCTAAATTTGAGGGAAATAGACTTGGTCCAGGACCACATCAGGCTACACACAGGCAAAGACACCCGGCCGTGAGGGCTCAGTTCCCACAGCCAGGCTGTGTGGCTGGTGCCGGGGACCTGTGCAGGAAGGGCCATGGGGATAGAGCTGCTCATGGTGCCTGTGGGGTGGGAGCAGAGGCAGAGATGGCATAAAGCTGGTCTGGAGAAATGAGGTGAAGGAAGTAGGGGGTCGGGTGCCAACAGAGCTGACCACATGCAGAAGGCCCATGCTGGGGTGAGGGGTGAGGACACACAGACAAGAGTGACAGAGAAGCCAAGTTGGGAGGCAGGCCTGGGACCAAGACCCCTCCTTGGGGTCTGTGATGGTCGATCTTGATCCTTGGGGTCTGTGATGGTCGATCTTGATTGTATTGAGAAGTGAGCCCCTGGTGCGTCTGTGAGGATCCCAGAGGGATTAACTGAGTGGGGAAACCTGCCCCAATGTAGGTACTGTCATCCCGTAGGCTTGGGAGAAATAAAAGGGGAGGAGGAAGAAGCCAGAGCACAGATGTTTGTTTCTGCATCCCTCTCATGTCATCCCGCCCTGTGCCTATGCCCTCCCCACCATGGCAGATGAGAACTTTTGAAACCATAGCCAAAATAAATCCTTCTTCTGCAAGTTGTGTCTTGCAGGTCACAGCAGTGAGAAAGGCTGACTGGTACCGAGGCTCTCACCACTCTGTTCTGTGTGTTGCAGCAAAATTCAAACAGGATTTTAATTTGTTAGCATTCCCTAGGAAGTTTGATGGGCGTTTGTGCGCTCATTCTTTCGTCAGTGCTGATCTTTTTCGATAAGCCCTGGGTAAGGAGAGCAAAAGTCATGAGTACGCAACACGACGTCCATGAAACCAGATGGCACGTTTGTAGCAGCTTGTACCTAAATGAGGACCAGCATGTGCTGTTGGCTTGTTTCCTCATTCAAGACGTGGTTCCTGATCTGTCCTGAGCACCAGGCCTGGGGAAATTCACACAGGGTAAGCTCTGTCCTGGCCTTGAAGGACAGCAGTCCAGGTTCACATTCAAGGGAGAATGTGTGGTTACTCTCCAAACTAACAGTGTTTATGTCCGTGTTCCATCTCTGCAAGACGGGACTTCATAAGGCAAGGAAACACGATATAATTGAAAACAGGCTACATGACTCCTACTCCTGCCCAGAACAAGTGAAAACACTCATCCAAGAAGCAGGATTTTGAGTGAACGGGGCATCGGCCTCATAAACGGTCTGATATTTGATTCTTACAAGGGTACTCTTACCAGTTCTATGCCCAGATTCTTACGTGATGCACCGTAAATTACTGGAGCTCATGATGCTTGTAGTGTCAGTTCCTCAAGCTCATGAAGGTCATAAAATCTTACATTTGTAGCCTTCATAAATCATAGGGTGTTACTCCTGTCCCCATTGTTCAGAGTAAGTTCTAGCTTTCACTCAAAAGGGAAAAATGTCAGTTATGCTCAAAGCAAAGAGTTTTTGTCGATGTAAGTATTAAAGATACACACCCACAAAATGAATCTGAATCACTCTGCTGCTTTGGAAATGCCCTATTAACTTAGGCTGGTAAAGCACATAGACCTGTAAACATACACAAGCCAGCAGATGATTCCCTTTTAATACATCTGTGTATTTTCGTCACTTTGGTATATAATATTATAGTAGCAGCTGTAGGAGACAGTAAACTGTCCATGAGTTCATGAACTGCTGTGAATAATTCTGAGACATGTGGCCACTCGGATAAAGAAGAAAATCAATGACAGTTATCATTAGTGCACATCCATGTGAGGTCAAGGGTTACCGCAGGAACTTTGGGTCCCAGGGAGGGTCCCCGCTGCCTGTGTCTCTGCGATGCGTGGGTGTGGGAACCCTCTGTTGTCCCACAGAGTACAGAGCTCTGGGGTCGCCTGTCTGCTCCTCCAGAACCCAACACAATGGTCCCATCCTGTTCTGCACTTGATGACCTCAGGGGCTCTTGGAATAAGAGGCCTTACAGTTTCACATTTCTACAGCTGCATTGAAAATTTATAAAAACATCTCAAATATTAGATTAATATATTGCAAAAGAAAATCACTTCCAGTCCAGTATTTCAGTCTGTATTCTTAGCTACTAGAAGAACCACAGATAAAAATTATCCGAACTGATAAAAATTCAGTAACTCCTCTTATGCACCCTTCTTGTGAAATTTAAATTAGTCCTTTTTAAAGAAACATATTTCAGTCATCTACATCAGCTTTCCTTAAAACTAAGACCGTGACACTTGCTGTGTTTATGTCCAGCAGTTCTGAATTTTTCGAACTATTATACAGATAGAGCAGAAGGTCCCTCTGGCTTGTCTGTTCTGCGTGTCAGCTGGAGACTGTAACCTGCATTAAGAGAAACCGAGAGGCAGATGAGTTCGTGTCGTCCACGCGCACAGCCACAGTCGTGAGAGCTGAAACCGCTGTGTCTCTTCAGGTAGTCCACTTGACAGATGTTCAAGGGAGCGTCTGTCATAGTGCTAAGACTGTCACAATGTGAGCAAGCAAGGCCTCTGTCTTCAAGGCCGATCAGGGTCTAGAAGGGGATACTCATGAACCATTCACAAATTCAGTAGCATCAGAAAGCAAAAGCTGCAGTGAATGAATTCTGCAGAAGCTGCTGCTGAAGACAGAGGAGGAGACAAGCCTCAGGCTGGCTCTCCTCTGCTCTTGGAGCACAGAGGGGGCTGGGAGCTCCCCTCCCCATGCTCCCTCAGTGAGTTTGAATAGGTTTCTCTCTGCATCTTCCCATGGCTCCACGGCTTCTCTTTCTCAGGTTAATTGACAAAATTCTCCCATCACTGCTCACGAGAAAGCATCCAGGAACCGAAGTGCCTTGTCCCATGGTTGTCAGGAAAGCAGGAGCAATTCCAGGCATTGCAGCTGTGTGTTAGCTTTATCACTGCAGTGAGCAGATACCTGAAAGAACAACTTGAAAGAAAGAGTTAAGTGAGCCTCCGGTTTCAAAGCTCTCAGACCGTAGTCCTTCCTTGGCCTCATTGGTTCTGGGCCCATGGTGGGACAGAACATCATGGTGGCAGCCATGTATGGAGGAGACTGTTCACCTCATGGTCAGCAGGACGCAGAGAGAGGAAAGGTCCAGGGACCAGGCGCAGCCTTCAGAGGCATGACCCCGGGGCCTGCTGCCTCCTGGACAGTGCCACAGTTTGGGTCTGTATTCAACATATGAACCCATGGGAGAAATTTCCTGTCAAACCGTAACATTCTGCCCCTGGCTCCAAATGCTCGTAGGCATCAAACATTTAAAAATTCCAACATTTTTCAAAAGCCCAAGTTCAAAGTCTCCTCTGAGCCTTCAGGCAGCTCTTAGCTGTGAGCCCCTGTGAAATCAAAACCAAGTTACATACTTCCACTTCCACGAACAATGGAACAGAGTAAACATTGTCCTTAAAAGGGAGGAACAGGGGCTAGAAAGGGGGATGGGATCACAGTCCGACTGAAACCCAGCAGGGCAGACATTAAATCCTATAGCTTTGTGTCTGGCACCTGGGGTGTGTGGTGGTGCATCGTGGCTTGGACAGATCTTCCCCAATGGCCTTGCTGTTTTCAGCCCAGGTGGCTCTCTCTTGGCTGGCTTCACATGTTACCTATGGCTTTCTTTGGCAGACTGTGGCCTCTCCAACACCCTGGAGTCTCCATTGCTGCTTAGGCTTCTCTCTATCAGCTTCATGTATCACCTGCTCTGAGGCCACTGCAGGGATCCTGACCCCGCCACACTCTGCCTGGCCACCCAGGGCTTCTTTGAAGTCTGGGTGGAAACCTTCCTTATCCTGTAAGCGTTCTGCATGCCTGCAAAGCCAGCACCACAGGGACAGTGCCATTGGCTCAGACGGTAGGCAGGTCCCCTTGGAGCTTCCTGTTGAGTGCCTGGGCTGCAGAATGCAGGAAACCTTCCCCAGGTGACCCCATGTGAGCAGGGCACTGTGGAACTCTCTTTTCAAACTGCTTCAAATGAATTAAAGCCCAGAACTTGTTTCCAGTTGTGGGAATGTTTGCGACCAGGGGCAGGCGGGGGAGGAAAAGAGAATGATAGAAAGTGTATGATATTGAATTGTAAGAAGAATGCGTAACAAAATGCTCTGACAGCTATTGAATAATGGGGTGTGGGGGAGAAAGGCAAGGGAGAGCAACAGAGGAAATTAATCTGATTAAAGTAACATTTTCATAGGTGAAATATCATGGCAGAAACCTTTTGAACCATAAACATACACTTACATAATGAAGGACAGGGAGTAAAACAGGTCTGGTTAAGGGGTGGGAACTAATAGGATGAGAGGGTGAATAGAGATGATCAAGGAGGGTGAATATGGCCGATGTACTTTATATATATGTAAGAAGACAGAACAATGAAACCTGTCAAAATTATTTTAAGTAGGGGGAGGGGATAAGGGAGAATGATGGTGGGAGTGAACCCAATCAAGGCACGTTGCAAGATGGAAATGCCAGTCAACCCCTGTACAACTAATGCGTGCCAACAAAAATCCCTCTATGCACTTGCACTTGCTTCATGGGGTGCAGAGTGGCAGCTGGTTGTTGAGATGACGCCCTCAAGGTATCTTTCCTATTGTCCTGGTTAAAGCACTTGATTTATTGCAGCAATGCTAACCTCTTTGGTAACCCCACTCTCCCCGTCAACGTTAAACACACTCCTTTTCTGGTCATATCTTTCTGCTCTGATTTTTACTCCCAATCTCACAATA